AGAAAGGTCGGACTCCAAAAGCAATCTGCCAACTCATTCTGCGTCGCAAGCGTTGCCCGAAGCGTCTTGTTCGTCGCAACCAGTAATACAGCCTCTGGGTTCTAGTGGGTTGGAGGCCCCTAGCCCAGCTCCATTTCAGGAGATTGCTCTGGCAAAAATCCAGACAAAACCGGCAGATCAACCTGCCTCCAGCCAGCAGTAATCAAGCTGCTACAATTCCTACTGGTGATCCAAAGGATTCTGCTGGCAATCAACCTGGCCTCACTTTGCCTCGTGATGCTCCTAGAGAGCCAGTGTTTGAAGCGGATTTTCGGGACCCAGTTCAGGAACAAGTAAAGTTGTGGTCAAGCCACTTAGGTGAGATATGGTTTTACCCTAAAGAAAAGTACCACGCCTATAGGCCGTAGGCTTCGAACCTCAATGACGGAGGAAGACCCATTCTCAAAGGTTTCCGTAAAAATGCTCATTGGGAACAATGAATATCTGGATGAGCACGGTTCAATGCCTGATCCAGTAGTTGACTCAGGTATACCGGTAGTCGTGCCCCCTGATAATGAAGAGTTAGAGGATCCCCCAGGTAGGTGGACTGCGCCTGACGTTCTAGTTGGCGACGTGTACGAAATGCAAGTTTACTCCAAGCGCACAGCGTATGTGTGGCTTCCAGCGTGGCACTTTATGGTTACTTTTGTAAATTCAAGCATTGAGAGGCAGAAGCTCCTCCTGGATGGTCCTTTGCAGAGCTTCGCAATGAAGGTGATGTCAGGGGTATACCCACGACAAACCGTCAAGCGTGCTATCATTGGAGAGACGGTGCTTGTAGGTTTGGAAATTCATGCAGGAATGCGCATTTCAGGCCTGCGTGGGCGCACGACAACGCACCCCCACCAGCAACAAGCCAACCTGCGCGGCCAAGTGAGCTCGCAGATGCATCGCAGAGTCAGGGGCCCCCTTGTCTTCACAGGGTGGTAACTCCCAGGCTCTGCCCAACAAGTGGCCTGCGCCTTCCCAACCTGCAGGTAATACTGTGCCTCCAATACGATGCCTTTTCTCCCACGATACCAGCAGAGTATGTTGCAGTGTATGCGGCTCCGTTGATCACATCCAGGAGGAGTGCGTGTACAATGGAGGTGGTAGTTATTGCTTGATCCCAACGCGCTTAAAGAAGCGGAACGAGCAGCTGCTCGAAATAGAACCCCTCCATCACGCCTTAGGCCGGCTGAGCCTTCGCGTCCTCCACCTCAGGCAATATGGAACAAGTACCATTCTTGGTCAAGTTGGCCACACAAGCATTCCAATATCTGGTACGGTACTGATGATGAAGAACAGGAGGAATGGGTCGAACCAGAACCCATTAGGAGCCGGAGGGTCAAACCACCGAGTCCCCCAAAGCCCCACGAACTGGTGCAAGGCTCCGTCCAAGGTCCGACGGCAGCGGCAAACGCCCGGCAACACCGCCGAGGGCTAAACGAGTAAGACCAGCTACAAGTAGTGGCGTTCGGGGATCACCTCCCAGAGTCGTACCGCCCCGAAAAAGGGAGCCTAAAAGGCGCAAAGAACCTCAGACTGTTCCTGCAGTGACCAGGATTGAAGGTACGAGTCCTAAGGCTGAGGTGAAGCAACTGGTTCCAAAAGGTTCAGTTGGGCGCAGCATGCAGTTAATACTAGCCTCCAAGAAGCATAAAGCTGCCAAGGCTTGTACATTTTCAAAGAGCTCTCGTAAGGCCTCAGCTAAGAAGGTGAAAGAGGTCGCAGAACCGGTCGAAGCTTCACCTAAGTATCTCCAGCCTACACCTAAAGTAAAGGCGTCGTCAGCCGATACCAAAGATAAGGCTCGAAAGAGACGTAGGAAAAGCAAGGCCGGTAATAAAGGCCTTCCTTCAGCTGAAGTGAAGCCCGTTAAAAGCGAGCTCGGCTATGAACCTCTGGAGGAGGAAGCAGATTATGTAGCCAATGCCAAAAAGGTAAAAGCTGAAGCACCTCCTGAATCCTCTGAGTTTGAGGAGGCAGAAAGTCAAGAACCAGAGCAAGAAGTCACTGAGGAAAAGTTGACCGCGCAGTTCAACAGGTTAAAAGCTTCAGTAAAACCTGAGGAAAAGCCTCTTGCTACAGCGGTCAATATGGCTGGTCCTCCAACAGATGTTGAAGAGACTGGTAATCAACCTGTCAGGCCCCCTGCAAATATCGGCCGCCTCCAAGAGACTCTGGTTGCAATCCTACAGTGGGGCTCCCCATGCCAAGGGTTGCTAGTCCTTGAAGACAGATTGCAGTCCAATCGTCTCCCAGGCGATAAGGTCATTGTCCATGGGAACCGCCATGCAAGTGAGTTGAAGATCCTCATGCATAGACAGGGCCATAGCCATAAACTACGTCTCGTTCAAGGAGACAAAGAGGTCGAAGACGACCTCAGGTTAAAGAATTTATCTGATAAGATATGGCTCCATGTTCTGGAGGAACCACTTCCAAGGGGTGGTCATGCCCCCCATGTGCAATACACAATGAACCAAAGCTTGGTGGGTACAGCATTAGCAGGTGACCCGCGCGTCCCATGCGTGTTGTCACCCCACACCCCGCGATTTGTGTCTTGCATACACTCTGAGGCCCAACACAGTGTTGTGGTTCTCGATTTAGAGGGTCCTCCATTGGTCTTTCCGGAGCCTCGCGGAGCTAGAATCGAGCAAATCCGCAGAGCTTTTCGGTTAGGTCCAGAGGTTACTATGACCGGGTTATGTGGATGTAAACGACATTTCGTCCTAGTGGAGGACGGAGCTTCTGTTCCATGGGGTGCAACGCTCGTCCAATGGACCAGGCCGTAGTCTGAACGTCCCCTATCCGCCATTGTAATACCGGCTCATCTGGGAAAGAGTTCTGGAGGAACGGTCGTATGTACATAGTGCATAGTGACGTTCTGTAAAACAGAACGGGGGGAGTGCGTGTACATGAACAGGAATACATGTGCAGCATGTGTAGAACTTATGCATGCCCGTAGCTGTCTCGGACCATAGTGGTGAGATGTGCTGAAGAACTCTGTACAAAGGTAATATCTACATTTTTAGATTTTACTCGCAGTGTACAACTAGCGACATTGCTTCTTTGTCTTCTCCTGGTTGTTTGTCTTTTCTGTAGGATTGATATCTGGTAGCAGCCTCTCGCGCCATATAGAAAAAGGTGTCTAAGGGCTCTGCCGTACCGCTCAGTTAAGTGCCCCACATGTGTGCAACCCCAGTGTCCGCAGCAACAATTACCTCGGGTGCTTGACGGACTCAGCTGGTTTCACATGTATAGCGTGCCCTTGCTTCGCAAGACCCTCTGGATGGCACGGCAGAGAGAGAGAGAGAGAGATTGCAACAATTAGTGCTTCCAGCAGTGTAACGAGTACTTTTCCAGTACCACTGGTATTATTTAGTTCCAATAAACTACTAGTACTCGTCTAATACTAGTCACTACTAGTCTTTTATAGTGCTATTACTAGTAGTAGCACTTGTAGCGCTAGTACCAGTAACTACTACAACTATTTCTGCTAGTACTACTGTTGCTACCGCTACTATTACTACTACTACTACTACTACTGCTACCGCTAGTGCTAACGCTACTGCTCTTTTTAACGACTGCAACGGTCGGGACGACTATTACTAAGACCAATACTAGCACGACTACTATTATTACTGCTGCCAGTATCACTGCTGCTGCTGCTGCTGCTGCTGCAGCTGCAACTACGACTACTACTTCTACCACTGCGGCTGCCGTAGACAAGTTTTCACAATGCCTATCAATGCAGTTCTTGCTGTTGTTGCTATACGTGCTATCGCTACAGTCACCAGTATCATCTCCGCTGCTGACTTTGCCGTCTTGTCCTTCTGTCAAGCATTTTGTTGTTTTGCTTTTTGTATCTGGTATCATTACCATCATTCTCGCGTTCATGGTGATCTGTGCAAGGGAGGGGGCTGCCCCCTTGCCCCCAACCCGCTTCCCATGCTCCGAACAGCTGACAAAATCCGCATATGCTGCAAGGCATCCGTGAAGCATCAACTGCTGTAAAATGCAGGTTTTAAGGCCTCCAGGAAGCCCAGAGAGGCAGGTCTTGCGCAAAAAGCACCAAAACCGAAACACAATCCAGAAAGAACACAATTCGCAGGAAACCAGAAAAACCCAAGTAAATTTTGGATCCTCTAGGTTGATTTTCATCAGCCTGCCCATCTCATCGCTCAAGTGTTTGAAGTTCTTCTAAAGACTTGCTATTTTCGGACGCAGTTCGCCCATGTCATTATCAGCAAGCAATACTCACTTCATAGCAGGAACTGCAAGGTGGAATGAGTGCGTGGATGTGCGGATTTGCCGAGGCGTGGACTCGCAGGATGTTCGGCGGATTGACAGTGAGGATGGCAGGCACGAGGGGTACTTAAGCAAAAGCTTGGGCAGCGGGAGCCTGAACAGCTATGCTGTAGAATGAGCAGTGTAGGGCAGGTGCTTTGGTGCATCCTGATGCGGCAACTGCCTTTTGACAGTTAGAACTTGTCCAATGAGATCCCTACACACCGATGCCAGCCTTGGCCAGCCGATGCTATCATCTCAGTGTTCGGGGCGTGAACCGAGGTCGAATTGAATGGAACACGCAGGTCAGCAATAGGGAGTAGACTGGAACTATAGGATGCCCGTGCCCAGGGCCTTCGCAAAGAACTTAGAACAGCAATTCGGCGTGGAGCCACTTGCTGCAGTGCGCATCAGGGGCATCAGCGTGCAGCGGTCGGGTGCGCAGCGTGACCGGCGCACAGCATGACCGGCAACCTTCCATTTGGTTGCCAGATACCATGCACCAACACATCACGCTCGCCATCTTGGGAGGAGAAATCCTTTGCAGCTCCCATCGTTCCTCTTACTGATCTGCGCTGTTGATGCGAACTGGGGAAGGGTGCTCCATGTCTGCTGTCTTTAAGTTCCGGTACACGGATCGACGTCTTCCACTGGCAGTGCGATCCCTGAGTGGATCAGTTTCCGCGCATCGGATGTTCTCTGCCATCTGGTTTGCTGGAAGGCTGGTTCCTGATCCCAATGGCTCAGCCGGATTGGTGGTTGGTCTGGCCTCCGGGAGCACGCGGTCAGATGCTCAGCAACCGCAAGCAAGTGCCTGTACTTAGAAGGCTTCGGCCTAGGCCGTTCGGGCTGCTGTCTGCCCCAGCGATCCCAGGCACTATGCCGTTTACTTCTGGGAGATTGGCATGACGCTAGTTTCAGCCTCAATTGCATGCCCGGCGGCACTGGATGCCTAGCATTGAAAATCATGGCAAATGGCTTCAGGCTATACTTCCTGAAAACCTCACAGAGCATGTTCCGCCTTCCCCAGAGGATGTGGCAAAGCGTCGTGTGTGTCCTCTGTGGATTGATCCCATGATTGTTAACAGCACGAATGCGCTTGTCAACCAGGACGGCGGTTTTGATTTGGTCTTCCCGGCTCCAGCATGCAACTCAGAACTGCAGGAACTGCAAAGGTCTTAACAGCCAGGGAACTTGACATTCTTGACATGTAAGAGTACCAGCAGCCCAGGAGCCAGAAGCAATGCTGGACTTTGGTGTTGCGCTAGGCAGGTGTCGTCATGGCCTGTGTGGGGCCATATCAACTCCTTGTTGAAGGTGAAATCATCGAAGCCAGAGGATGGGCAGTAGTGCAACTTTCTCACGCAAACATGCTGTGCCCGCAGCCTGGCATTGCAATCACAATGGAAAACTGTCGTGCTTGAGCACCTGTGACAGAATGCGGTCAGTGCTGAAGGTGAGTCAGCCTGTCGAGAGGCGCGGTCTCTGCGCCGTTTCTCAGGCGTGCGGCTCAGCTACTCTGCCAGCTGCGACAGGAACGGTTGTCAACACACTGCAAATATTGCAGGTCTGCGACAAGAACTAATCCCGGACTACCTCGGGCATGGGGTACGAGGTACCATGCTTGTTGGATCTCGGCCGAGTAGCAACAGCAAGCAGCAGGAAAAGTCCAGTTTCTCTCTGGGCAGCGTGGGCGTGACGACCAAGCAGCTCGTGCCTTTGATCCGGCCTATCATTGATATCGTTTGGTTGCATTGCGCATTTTGCACCAAGAGCTGCTGAAAGACTGCTGGCTGAGAACCTACAGCGGCTTGATTCTGATTTCAATGTGCTGGCACAGGCCTTGTGCCTTGCACCAAATGCCTTTTGCTCTTCGGCTTCATGTCAAGCTGGTGGATGGGACAGCTGCCGTGATGTGATGCCCGCCCCAAGCCCTTTGCATGTGACAGGCGGTGGCCGCGAACTCGTGGCACAGCATGGGCTTCCGTTGACGCCTTGTCTTCTAATGCCAGGCCTATAGATGTACAATAACATACCAAGTTTGGACAAGGTAGCATCGGGGAGAGGTCTCCAACCCTATTGTCTCTGACTCAGCATAGCAATCTCCAGCATGTATCATGAAATCAAGAGGGAGAGGCTCTTGAAAGAACGGCGCAGTTCAGGTGGGTGCCATATGCCACGCGTCCTCACCTCAATGGTTCTGTGTTCTGCTGATTCACCTGCTGAGTATTGGCTCCCATCTACTGACATGTAAGCTTGTTCTGAAGCCATAGAGGAGTTGTACTATGTTGTTTTCCTGCAGGCCGAGAGGAGTTCTCCATGGAAGGGGACCCACTCAATGTCCAGGGCTCGGCGGAGAGCTGATGAAATTGCCCTTCGCTTCCTGTACATGAAGATGCGGGCTTTTCTGGTCTTCAGGTCCTTGTTCATTCATGTCCTGTCATGCTCTGCAGGATGATGACATTGAGGAGGGTCACTTGGAGGCCCGGTCGCAGAGCTCCAAACACAGTTGCCATGAATGTCCCTACAGTCCCTACAGGAGCACCTCCAGTTTCTACGGCGCCGGCGACTATGCTGCATGCTCTGGTCTCTAACCAAGATGGATCAGATGCCATGATATCTAGATTTGGACTTGCAAATTATAGAATACTTTGCAGGCTCGAAGAAGACGGCGGCGAGATCAGGCTGACCCCAGGTCCTCGGCGGCCAGAGCGAGCAGCCACGACCCCACATGTCACATGCCCTCTACAGCCCCTACACAGCCCCTACAGCAAGTGTGCAGTCAATTTAGGTCAGCCTGCCAGTGGGCCGGCGGAAGCTCCTGGTTTTCCGGGGCGTGGGCTGGCCAGATTCACTTGAATTTGCCAGACATGTGAGAGAAATGCAAAGCCGGCAAGGATCGCATGACGTTTTCCTACAAGCCCTCGGGCAGGCAGGTGTGCGTACCAAGTCTATAGGAATATAGGAGAGATGAATTCAAAACTGCATGCATCAGCGCATCAGACACATGAGTTGATGCGACAGCATTGTCTCTCAACCACATGTTGTGCTGGGCGTGGACAGTCTTGAAGAGCTAGCACCCCACATAAAATCCAACATGCTGCCATTATGCCTTGCTATCTGCCATTGAGCTGCATCTTTGGGCATAATCTGCTCCTCAATTTTGCAGGTTCGTTGTGCTGCAAAGCTGGGTCCTGGAGCCACCTGCGAAGTCTGCATCTCAGCAGTTTTTGCTTCTTGCGTCTTTGCTCAGCACCCCTGTCAATGGTTGGAGGTTTCAAGTTGGCAAGCTGGAAGGGCACCCTATGATGAAGGCTGAAGATCACATGCATGTAGGCATGTTTAGGCACCGCATTACTTGGGGAACTGATCTCGAGGCAGAGGCCATGGGTATCATGAATGGGCGACCTCACCCAGAGGCTGCATTTGTTGATTTCTGACTGAATCCTTCAGACGGCTTCTGTCCTGGCCCAGGGGGACCGAGTGCACATTATGAGCGCATGGTGCTTGGCTGTGCTCTCTTGGCCATCCCAAGGAGTTTTGCTCGAGCTAAGGGTCATTCAAGAAGGAATTGTTCATCCGAAAATTCTATTCATCAGCAGGGCAAGCACGTTCGTTTGGTGACAGCATATGGTCAGCTATCAGTTTTGGCGTTTATCGTGCTCGCAAAAGGCTACCCGCAAGCGTACGCGAAAAAGCCGCTTTTGGGAAAAGCATCCCCACCCCACTAGGTACCGCCCACTGCAAGCTTGCATTTGCCGAAGTTCTGGAGCTCAATACTGTTTTACTTCTTTCAGTCCTGGGCATTCTGCGATGCCTGTATCAATCTGATTGCAGTCACAAGTGGGGATGCTGCTACAATGTGTTACAAGTGTTCTCTCCAGCTCCTCACTTATTTGAAGCTCCAGACCGTCAGTTTCAACTGCAGACCAGGGCGTAAAGCTTGGGACTGATAGCAGAGCACTGTTGGCAAATGAGCAAGACGACAGTTCCAGGTCCATCTTGTTTGACGCAGCTGGCCATATTCTCCAAAATGGAGACTAGAGGCTTTGCACTGTAAGCTTGGTTTGGGGCCAGCACTCGAAAATTCCTTTTGATTTTCAGTCTAAGTCTTTGGTGCATTCAGCTGTCCGCATCTATTTGCCCCACCCCGTGCCCGACCACGCAGGCAGGAGCAAGGAGACTTAGTGCCTCGCCCAAATATCTTTGTATACTCTCTGCGTTTGTTGAATCTTTCCTTAATGGAAATGGTCAGTTGAGCGGGACGCGCCGCTTTTACGTGTAGCACCGCTGTATGCTAAGTTTGGCTACTGAATGGGCTGGGTGCTGTCAAGAGGCTCACCCTGTGTCTTTCTGAAGATGCCCTCGCGCTTCCGGTGCTCTACTTCCGCAAGAGAAGGGAAGCTGGCGTTCCGGTTCGCGCACACATCACACCAAAGCCGCACACAGCGTGACTCTTCATTGGTGCGTGTTTTTTTGCGTACCATGTGCATCGTAGCTGGACTGCTCACCCGCCCCCCCCGGGGCATCACTCTTTTTTAGAATATAGCTTCACTCGCTACACGTGCGTGCGTATTTGGGGAAGGAGCAGAACAGATCATTGCCTTTTTTTGGCTGCACACAGCCTGACTAAATAGAAGAACGGTAGGAGACATCAATCGAAACAACATCAAGGCCGCTGACGAACAGATGGGAACAGCAGCTTGAGTCGCCGGTTCCGGAACGTGTGGATCATGAAGGAGATGGTGAACTTGGTGGAGTGTACCTGACTGCCAACCCTTCCAAAGGGGCCAACAGACATTGACATTTTTCAAATTTTGCGTTCCATATTCCTGGAGATGATAGCGAGTTTCCCAGTACGGATGCTTTCTAGGCTTCAACCAGTGATGATGGTGTGCGGGTATCAGGTGCCTCAGCAGCCTTTTCTTCCAGCAGGTTTCATCAGGATTGATGGTACTCAGTCGTATGATGTTTTTCCTAGGAGATTAGTCATTGCCAAGCTGCAAACCTTTTTTTTTTGGACTCCTCACCCCACAAGGTACGATACAATCTAAGTAGGCGAAGGACAAGTAGCAAAAGTGATAAGATGCCGGGCTTCTGCGTTTTGTGGCATGATCGCCAATGCGATGCCCTAAAGGATGTTTGTTGCAGTCGCATGTTTTGCGTGTTCATTCATCTTGAAGCCATTCCCCCCTAGCCTTTTGGGTTAATGTTGGATCCCTGATTAGTGTGAGCCCCCCCCAAGCAGCAAGGGGAGCCCCTATAATAAAAAGGCTTCAAAACGAATTGGGGGTCTGGGGGATCCTATTAAAATCAATCAAGGAAGATGTATCCTTCGGCTCCTATTGAATCCATAAGGACTTGCTCGGTCTAGCTTTCAAGAAACTAGGAAAGGCAGTGTCTTCAGCCTTTGCGAAAAAACGGCCTGGTCTTGAAAACCTAGCAAAAGCAATTACAATCTAATTAAAGTCATAGACAATCTTTTCAAAATCAATGAGAAAGGAAGTGGATCAAAAGTTTACCTAATTTTTTTTCCAGCCGAAAAAACTTTCCTTTATTGGGACCTCCCAAATCGAATAGGGGGTCCAGAATAATTTTCGAAAAACTTGACTTTATTGGAGATCCCCGCACTAGTTGGGATTCGACATTTAACATGGCATGAAACTTTCTGAAGAAAAGACATTTGTTGAAACCACCGCCTTTGAGTTGCTAAAGCATTTTTCTTGTGGCAATCTCGTTCTCACCGGTGACTCAGGTAGAGACATATGTTGAACCACCCCCCGTTCGCCTTGCTACCAAACACAGTGACGCAGGGAAACTCAAGCAACAACATCTTTTAACAGCACGGCGCCTTAACCTTGCAATTCAGAGTGTGTCTGATTTCAAAGCATTTTTTGGAAGCCATCCCCATTCGCCTTGCAGTTGAAAGGGTGCAGGGGAATAAGGTGACTCAAGTAGACGCATATCGTGACACATCTTCGAATCCCGCTCGCCCCGCGTTCCACAAGATACAGTGCTTCAAGGAACTCAAGCCCTTGCGCCCTGCCTGAACAAAGGCACTTTGTCAAGCTACCCCCCCCGCGTTTGTTTTGCCAGTGGAAGGGCACTGGCACCAGGAAAGGACACCGTTTTTCACCTAGCACAAGGAAACGCGCGTATGGACATGAGTTCAAGCTACCCCACCTTCCCCCCCTTTTCCCTTGTAATCACAATAATGTTCAAGTAGAGGCCTGTCAAACGACCCCTTCGCTTTGCCATTCGCAAGAAACTATGACCGCCCAGAAACTGAATTTTGAAAGCCACTCCCATTCACACCGCAATTCAAGATGAGGTGACTGAACCTCACACAATTCTTCAGGCCACACCCTTTTTAATTTTTGCAATGGCATTATCTGGACGCAGTTGAATGAAGAGACGCAAGTAGACGCATCTGTTGAAGCCAATTGGTTTCGCCTTGCGATTTGAAACAACATGACGCTAGTAGAGAAACACCCCTCTTTGTCCTTGCAACTCACAAAAAGCTGTAACATGGAAACTGAGATGGCGGATGAAGGTGAGCCCAGAGTCTTTGACACACCCTAAACTCCTAAACCCCACATCCAAACCCTTTAAACCTTTTTCCAGCTAGTAGACGTAACTCGCCAGTGTAGATACTTCTCAGTAGCTTAGACATTACATTCAATGCAACCCCAAATACCCTGACGGCTGTGCTGTTCCCGGCACATGTGACTGATACAGCCATCATCTCAACAAAAAGCCCTTTGAACATTGCTTGGGCCTATTTGGCTGCAGGTCATGTGTCGCCTGCCGGGTGGAGGCAGTGGACCAGACCAGTGCCCCTCATTCCAAAGGATCCTGCTCAGCCTTGATATTGCTTGGCGGAGGTATTGGTCCATGCTGCTGGATGGCACAGACGGCATGTTGTCCATTCCTTCCGGGAGGTGCCCATCATCCGTTTTTTTTTGTACCTTGTGGATTGCCTGGAAGCTGCAGGTGGGATACTGATCTGTACTGTACAAAGGCTCGAAGCAGTCAATCTACCCTGTGATGGGTCCTGTGTTGTAGTTGTAAAATCAGTGCTTGCAGGATGCGGAGCATGATGAGTATGGCAAATGCTACACCATCCATGGAGCATTCGTTGCCAGCACCTAAGCTCAGCTCCGTGGACAGCTGGAACTACTCGCGTGTTACATGTTGCTGCTTTGGATCGTTGCGTCAATGCCACTGCAGCATGGATTGCTTCCGCGCAGGGGAACACTGCGATGAAGAGCACATAGCACACTTGTGACTTTCAGGCCAACGAAGAGATTTTCTCTTTTGACAACGGCTTCTTCGACATCCCTCACGAAGAAGCGATGCTAGGGCCTCTGACAAAATCCTCGCTAACTACACGTGGTCTTGCATTCCATCGCCATCCTTTTGGTCAATAAGGTTCATGTCTCCCAGTCAGCGCGTTGTCATGGAAGATGGATACACTGTGCTCTATCGCGGTGGCTACAGTAAGGCACGCAGAAACTTTCTGAGCCAAGTGATAATGCAAGAAAACATGAGCAGGAAAGCCTGCGCGGGCGCAGCATCGGCGTCTTTTTGGGTGATACAGGGTCTGTTAGAATCTCAGTGGCCCCTTTGCAAGCTTGCATCACAAGACCACATGTTGTTCCCAAAAAAGTGGCCGCTATCGGGCGCCAACAAGATTTCTGGCATGGCCAAACTGTCCACTACCAGGAGCATAGGCGAGCAGTGATCTTTGCATTACCCAGAGCCTCAGATGCCAAGCGGCCGGGCAATGTGACAGCACAGTAAGAGAGTAAGATCCGTGGCGGCGTCTGTGCGTAAGTGAGGTCAAGGGTAACTGCGGGTACGCATCCAGGCCCCTCGGTGACCATCCCTGGTCCCTGCAACATGAAATGGTTGAATGTCTTGTTGATTTAGCCCATGTGCATGCAAAGTGCCGACATTTCTCTTGGTCATGTTGTCAGATGGGGAAGATGGTGTCTCCGTTCTTGTGGTGCCTTGAGGGCTCATGTACGTCCTGTTGGTTGAACACATGTGCATGCAAAGCGCGGACATTTTTGGAGTTATTGTCAGATGGGAAACATGGTGGGCCCATGTGTTTGCGTTCTTGTGATGCCTTGAGGACTCATGCGCACAAGGCCGGCATCAGTGTCTTTGCATGCTGGCCTCCGGCAGTTTTTTGTAGAAGTGGATGGATACTCTATGGAAGCTTGCAAGCGCAGGCTGTTTTCCACCCTCCCGCAATTGAATACTGAAAGGCGCGTCTTTGGTTTGAACCTCCTATTCTCCCAAACTGTGCCATGATGCGTCACGCCTCCGACTTGATTTGCGGTTTTTGATGCTTGGGATTGTGACAGGAAAGGGTGTTGTACTTCGGCCAAACATGCCTACCTTGATGCCGTACCGTAAAAGAGCCTCCAAAGACACGCCTGAAACGTGTCCCAAAAGCACATGCTGCAGACAATCGTTGAATCATCCAATTTTCTCAGGGTCAATTAGTCATGGCTCAAAGCCATTAAAGCTTTTCGTATGCAACCCATGAGGTCCGCAAGAACGCTGCGTCCTCAAACAGGAATGCCTGGCCTTAACTGGAGTCACTGCAGCATGCCGGCAACACGCCCGCACAACGCATGCGGCCATTTGGGTTGGAGATACTCCTTGCGTTTTTCCTACCTATAGGTGGTGGTTGTTGTGCTGATGGTGGTGGTTTTCATTGCAGGAGTGGCAGGGTGCGAGCAAGAGTAGCAGCAGAAGCCGCGGGCCTTGTTGTCGTTGTTGTTCGCGTGTTATACTTCTCGTCAGAGTAGCAGTCGTGATAGTAGTAGGAGGAGGTGGCGGGTGGTGGTGGTAGTAGTAGTAGTAGTAGTAGTAGGAGGAGGAGGAGGACGTGGGGTAGCATTAGTGGTAGAAGTTCAGTATTACGAACGGTATTAGTGTTAGTATAGTAGTATCATGAGTGGCAGCAGCAGCAGCAGCAGTTGTAGCAGGCCAGCACTACGACGACTACTGCTTCTACTATTGCTACGATGCTACGATTACCAAGGATGGCAATGACAACTACAACAACGACTGCTACTAAGTAAGTATATACTAGTACCAGACCATCGATTCTTTTTTTTGTTGTTGTTGCTGTTGCTGTTGCTATTGTTGTTGTTGTTGCTGCTGCTGCTGCTGCTGTTGTTGCTTTTGCTTATGGTCTTCTAGATTCGGCTTTTGCTTTCCGCTCTTTGCTTTTTGCTCTTGGCTTCCTGCTTCTTGCTTACTCTTCGTTTTGGCTGGTTCTTGCTATCAGTGCTAAAGCTGCAACTTCACATGTACAGCTGTAAGCAGTGTTCCTAAAAACTAGTCATTCCCTTCTTGGTATCGCTTTGTGTGCCTTTCTGCATGTTGCTATTATTGTTGTTTGTTACCAACGCTATTTCCATTGTTATGCTCACTCTTAGTTACTGTTTTCGCTGCTCTTGTTGTTATTGTTATTATTACTTTTCTCATTATGTACGATGATCACCATTTGTTTATTTAGCGCTGTTCTTTTCTATTGGTTGCTGTTACTAGTATTCCTGCTCATTACCTTTTATTTCTATTCTTGCGGTTGCTACAGTAGCTACCCTTTCTCTAGCTATGACTATTGTTGCTACTGCCGCTGCTAGTACCCTCAGCAATGATATGGCTACCAATGCTGTCATTGGTTGCTATCTTGTTACTGGTGCTACTCCTATTAATGCTGTTACTGCTGTTGTTATACGTGTCAATGCCATCAACACTAGATTTTTTTGATTAAACGCATTAGGTTGGCCCTGTGTTTTTGCGTATTTGTTTCTGGGCGCGCGGGTATCCCTCCGGCATTCTTACACGTTTCGTAAAGTTGTGTCTTTTTCTGTTCAAGTTATGATGTCACACTTGTTTCGAAACATGATGGTGTTTAGAAACACCGGGATCAAACCAATCAACCAGTAGACCAATGGTTTTGGGCCCATGTAGGAGAATGATTACTTTCCTGGTTAGGTCCTGGGGACGTTAGGATGTAGGTGTTTTGAGACGGGAGAGTGTTTCAGAGAAGATGACGTCTAAAAAGCACCAACCAGGGAAGCGCGGGGATGATTAAAAAGAAGCATTGAAATTAGGAATTTTCTCATGTAACAGAAAATACACCAAGAAAAACCTAGGGGAGCTCCTGCCTGAACATTGTAGTGATTTGTGAAAGATCCCAAAGGAAATCTGATTAGAATTAGGGATTCCTGCAGCGTTAGACGTTTGTTTTGTAATTAGCTAGCGCAATAAGCCACCGCTTTTTCGTGTATTTTCCCCGAGGGCCGAGGCATGCTTGGGAATGTTGAGAACGTTGATAGGGTTGTGGGATTTGTGGGAGTCACATTGGGGGTCATATTGGGGCTGTTTGGGGGTTATATAGGGAAGATGGAGAAGAACATGGAGATGCAGAACAGTAAGCGCAATATGAGTACTACATAAATTAAACCTGCTAGTAGCAGATGGGAAAACACAAGTTTTCAGAATATTAGGAACATTCGGATTTTAAGCATGAGGGAGATTTTGATAACATTCAGTCGTCAAACATTTTGCGTCAGAATCTGGAAAGTACCAAGAGAGACAGAGAACTTAAGGTATACAGACCGCAAGAAAGATTGGGAAGGCAAACGATATAATGAATATAGGGCATTTAAGAAACTGGAGATTTTTGGAGAATTCGCAACCATGGAAAATCAGGAGTGTTGAGCGTGTTACAATTTTTTGGCCAACAAGGAGAGGTATTCGAACAAAAACAATGCGTGCAAATATTCGAGGAATAGTAGACGTGTCAGAAACCTTCACAATGCTGTGATGGTGAGAAGTAACATTTCGTTTATACAAACGCTCTCTGTCGCCAGCACCCGGCAGGTCGGGGCACTACACTGTTACTTTACACAAGAGTGCCAAGAGTGTTGAGAGTGCAAAGCAGGGTCCCCCGAACTATCAAGCCAACAAACCAGACTTGTTTCGAAGCAGCAGCGCTGTCTCAAATCAGAGTAGCGTGATGAATGAATGAATGAATGAATGAATGAATGAATGAATGAATGAATGAATGTCTCGAATCAGAGGTTCAGATATTAAACCCTAAGCCATTAATCCACTTAGCCATGAAACGATTAAACCAATGGTGTTGGGCCCATGTAGGAGGAGGTTGGTTTAATGGTTTCATGGGTTTCCGTCTTGGGAAAACCCATTGGTTGAATGGATTAATGGTGCATCTGCCGGCAGTCCAACAGTCCGAGCATCAAAAAGGAATTAATGGTCTGGTGTAATTGGAAAGACATGAAAATTTACCATCCCAACTTTTGTTTCGGAACAGTACTGTTTCCTAAAATTTTGCCTTTCAAGGCCACGCGATGAAGTGAGGGGAAATACAAAGTCTTAGTAAGAGGGCACATACGCGGCTTCTACCCTACAGGCCTCGAGATCCCTAAGCATGCTGTACGCACACATTTTCACAGGCTCTCAAGCCTTTCATGTTTGACTTTTTTTGGTAGTTCTTAGGAGTGGGCGGCTACATAGTAAAACCCAACCCCAAAAGACCAACCAAGAAAATCCTCAGCTACTAGTTCCTGGAGATTCTTACAGTGTTCCACTCGTCCAAGGTTGAGTGGACAGGTTGAGTGAAGCTGAGAACAGTGGTATAGCTGAGGCGAGGCGAAAACAAAAAAACAAAGCAAACACAAACAAGCACCAAAAACCAAAAGGGAGCCAATTAGCCACCCTAGAAGTTAATTAAGCTCTGTTCCGAGTTCTAGTATGACTTGGGGCTCAACAGAGTTTGGGATCTCCTTAATTCCAACGTTTTGTTGTTTTAGCAAGGCTTCTTCAAAAAAATATACTATGTTGAAGAGTTCAAATTCAAAGGAAATTGAAAGGAATTTGGGATTTCGCTTCTCTCTTCGAGTCATATAGCTGTTGCACGATTTTATGCAGGAACTTATCTAGAAGGATGTCACTCAAGAAAATATGATCCATCAATCAGGGCTAGTGAAGGTCCTAGATTTTCTTATATTGTCAAGTCAGGCATGCCTTCTCTTCAAGATCAAAAAAAATCGGCTTCAATGTCAGATATTTCCCTACATTCATTCTGGGGTTCTAATTGTTTAGATGTGGCGTCGCCCGGTGCCCGCAGCGTGCTCTTCCGTCGCGCAAGCATTTTGGATGCGCTCATGTTGACTTCAAAATCGCGCTCTCGCTCGAGACATTGAAAAGTTTATCCAAAAAATAGGAGACATCGCCTTGAAAATAGTCTTGCTAGGAGGGGTCGGTGCAAACTGGAACACCCCTGACTTTCAAAAATTGCGTTTTCGCTCGAGACATCCTCAAAATTTTGCGTTTTTTAGTTTATGAATTATCAAAATTGCGCTCCCGCGCGAGGCAATTCGATCTTCTTGGGGCTCTGAACATCTTCGTTTTTTTCTAAGATCGCGCTCTCGCTCGAGACATCCTCGAAAAATGAATGTTTTTATATCGATGATGGATCCAACAGAGAGGCGAGATTGCCTTTAAAGTAGTCTTGCTAGGGGGGGTCGATATCGAATTGGTCGCGCTCCGATTTTCAAAAATCGCGCTCCCGTGCGAGACATCCTCAAAATTCCGGACTTTGCGTTTTCAAGAATTGCGCTCCTGCGCGAGACAATTCGACTTTTTTGACGTTTTGATCATATTCGTATCTTCAAAAATCGCCCCCTCGCTCGAGACATCCTCGACATTTCGTCGATTCATCTTCATCTAAATCGGTCAACATTGCGCTCCCG